TTGAAAGTTTGTTGCGGGTCACGGACCCTGCACAACTCAGCACTAGCCTCCAGGGTTATGGCTCGGTTGGAAACATTCACAACCTGACTGATAATTTTATGTGAGTAATGGAGGATTTGGTTAAATTTCAATTGGGAAATATCCATTTCTAAATTTATTGTTCCAAAGGCAAAATGCTTTTTAAATCATATTTCATCATGTTTTTCGCCTAAGCTTAGAATCTACTTGCAACCCATTGAACTTTTGTGAAACTGTCTTGTGTTAAAAGTCACATCAAGCACGTGCTGTTGATCACTCTTCAGTTTTATCTAATTTGCAAGCTCTACCGCCTGCTTGTGAAATTCTCATTGTCATCGTCGTCAGCGGAGTCGACTGTTTCAATCACCATTTCATATTAGTGGCTTCAATCTAACCATTCAAGTAAATCTATTGCATTCAAATAACACTGTTGGTCTCATCTGATCACGTTAACCAAACATCGAGTAGGGTTAGTACCCTCTGGAGGTTACTCGGATAATTTGTCGGTTCAAAGTCTGGAACAATCTTCACTGTACATCAATGTTGTGGTGTCCGAGTCGATTTTCCTAATGTCAGTATACTGAAAGGGTAACCTGATGCAATCGTTAAATTCGGAATAATCTTTTTTATCAAACATTTAGCCTAAGCCAATATTATATTACGATGCTCACATGTATTTCGCTGTGAATACAGCATAGCTATGGTGAACACAGAACGTCGTCAAATAACACTCGACCATTACTGCCAGCCTTGGTTCGGAAAGTGACATCATGTGATTCACAAATCATTGGTTCACTTTCGAATAATGCACCTAAAGGAAAACAACAACAACATTGCCGTGTTTAATGTGACTCAAATATACTGAGAATATAATATTTTGACAATATTCACCGGAAATGCGTGCACTGGCAGCTTCATCAATCGAAATGGGAAACAGAAGGTAAAATTCACCATTTGAATTTGATCTAAGACAACAATAACATTCTGATATCTACTGCAATACTTTTCAAAATAATCACCCACCTGCGATTGATATTCAGTCCTTTTCCGAAAATTAAAGTAGATTAAATGCAATCTACCAACCTTAGTGCTCCAGAAGACTTTCTGCCTGACAAAGCGGAATAACACGGAGGGGGGTGGGTGGAGATTACTGCCCATCGATTTACAGTTAGAAAACAAGTTGTGCGAAAATCTGTTTTCGCTCAGTAAGGATCTCCTAGTAATTTCTGTCCTATTTAGGGAAAAACCCCAAGTGGTACTCGGATAAAACGGAAAGATATAAGGCATCAAAGGTTTTACCATGCCTTCCTTTTGCTACCAGTTTTCGAGAACGTCCACACGTAGAACCATGTGATTAGATGTACATTATTATTTTGATCTCTCGTTAGAGAATATTTCGCTGAAAAGATACAAATGCTCTTCTTAACTGACTGTCAAACGTCACCACCGGCTAGTAAAATGAAAGTATCTTTCTAAAAACCGTCTCGTACAGACCACAAGATCTTCAATCCTCTGGGTTGACCTCTCGGCAGAAGGTACTCAGTCCGTAAAGACCGTGCAACACTAAACTTTGTCGTTCCGCATATCAAGTAGTCGCATTCAGCCTTCCACTAGACCTGGTTTCTGAATCCATCAACTCGATCAGCAATAAGCTGTTAAATGATTCAGGATGCATCTCAGATCTATTTCCTTCGGAAATTGCAGCTTTTAGCTCTTGCGGTGCAACGATATCCACTTGTATCTACGTATATAAGTGAATCGTCTATTATTTGAATGAACGCAGCAAGGAGAAAATTCCTCTTAGCTTTCTCAAAGATTTTTCTCTCTGGCGTACATTTTATTTTTGAAGCTTGGATTTTCGCCATCAAAAAAATTTCTGGGACGAATTCGAAACTGATTTAACGCCGCGTATTGTAAATCTGTTTAATAAACCATGTAATTAAAACACCAAGGAACGAATTTTACAAAGCACAATTGAAAGACAAAACTTAATAAACGAAGGCAGTCACGGGGCTATTCAAAGCGAACCATGATTGGGATTTTATCATTTTCCGTGCTGAGCGAGGTAGTGAGGGTGGAAATTCACTCTAAATGATAGTTGTTGGAATCTTCGAACCCGATGAAATTTTATTGTTGATTACAAACAAATCAGCCTTCCATTTGTACTTGTTTTCCAATTGTAAAATAAATAATATTTCGTTTATTTTGGCTGCCATCAAACTTGATGACAGCATACATATAACTCATTACATTAATCACCGTTTTTATTTTATTTTTGTGCACATACTCTATGAGGCAGCTTATCTCAATCAAAAATTGAGAATAATGTTTCCTGCTCTGACATTGATTGACTTAGCAATTTGTTACAACTAACAGAGATTTTAACGAAGGATTGCTTGTTTAAGACACCCCTTGAAATCCCGCGTCATTGTGCGACGTTTCCTGGGTGAGCGTTGATTCTGTGAAAACTAACATCAAAAGTTCCCACTATGCCTTATTTGTATACATGTCTCTATCTGTTCAGAGATTCGTGCGAGTAAATGTCCGCATTTCAGCCAAAATGTTTGCGTCCTTTCATAATGAAGCAGGAAAGCAATAAAAGGTTAAAAATGTCTTCAGTAGCAGCAAACAAATCCAGCAGAAACGGGCAACCGATTTGTTAGAAATCTAGCAAGGTAAGGACTGGTGAAATTTATGTAGATGGCAATGTGGGAGGGTAAGAAACGATTAGCAGAACGTGTCGAAGTGTACGAGTGACTTGCCACGTAGAAGATGAACGGGTTCAAAAGGGATTTACTATGCAAATCGAGGTAGAAAACCATGGAGTTTGGTCAGAACACTGAAGAAATTTCGAACGAATTAGGAAACGGAAATAGCCTGTTACCGATCCATGCCCTCAGCATATTTAAATGAATGGACTATAAACCTTGTTGACAGATGGAAAACAATAAGGATGAGAGAACTGTTTCATGAAGCACTCATGAATAATTAAGCCACACTTTGCATGTATTTATCAAGAGCATTGAGTTCAGTCCACGAAATAATTGACTCATCATCCCGGTGGTTGCTTGGGGCACCCAAAAGTTCCTGACGGCGTAGGCAATATGGAGCAGTGTAAAAGACGGACGAATTCGCAGATGTGTCTAGGGGCTTAGTTGCATGATGACCTAGGGAAGGGTCATACCGAACGTGGACCTGTTTGGCTTACATGTTGGCTGAAGAGAGTCTTCGCGAGCACTGAGAGATGAAACCAGAACTTGGATAGAGGCACATTCTGTCAATCTCAGTCCCCGTGATATTAAAGCAATACGATGAAAGTGTTTAAATAGAATATTGGGTTTGAAAATATTTATTAATGGAGATAGCTTTGATGGATCCCAGCAGTCATAAATGGAATGCGTGAATAAGGTGTTACACGAAAAAGGTGAGGGCACCCGTCAGAACAAAATCATCATGTTTTAAAATAGCTGACCATAGACCGCCCATACTGGTACTTGCAGTTTTTATTGTGCGCAAGAGCTGGAACTCATTCTCTGGAAAAAAGCGGTTATATGAGCCGCGTTATCCGGTATCCGTGAAACTACAGAAATCACAAATGCGCGGTTTGTAGTTTGAAAGTCCACAGCATAGCTCCTTGGTATTACTTTCTCTCCACATAGAAGCCAAACGTATTTTCAATAACGTTTAAAAGTTTGAATACAGCGGTTGAATTCACTGATGTAGTTAACTCCATTATTAACGTATAAATTCATCTGACCGTTAATGAATCTGAAGCGTTTGAGAAGTTTCTCCTCAATAACTTTAGTCTGGGAGACACAATACGTCTATTAGGGAGAACGAAAGTTTCTAGGGGTCAGCGCAGTTTAAAATGGAATCGACTATATGAGCAAAGTGTGTAACAGTGTTGTTTAATGAAAAGTTAAAAAGGAATCAAGAGGTTGTCTGGGATAGAGGTCACGTGAAGTGCTACGGAAATGGAGTTTCATTTGATCAGTTTATCTGGAAGAGTGAAGGGCAGATCGGGTGTACACCTTAAGCTGTGAGAGAGTCCAGTGGTCACTGGTCGCGACAGAGGTACGTCGTTTAAACGGAAAGAATTCAGATCGATAGGTAAAACATGTAAAACATAATTACCTCTAATTTGATTAGAGTAGTGGAAATATGATATATGGTTGATGCGTGATTAAAACAATTCACGAAAATTTGTCAATTGTACTATAGCAATGATACGAGGAGGATAAATAATGAGTCAAACAAAACCGAAATAGCGTTGCATGCTCAAAACAGAACTATACAACGGTGTGTCACAAAAGTGCTTCAACATCTGGAGGATGTAAAATGACATCGGATTCATCACCTTCAGCCCTAATTCTCGTTTGTAGGTCCCACAAGAATAAATATGAACTCTGGAAGAGAATACGAGTGATAAATCTAGGATTTCAAACAACTCAGAGCCTATATTAGTACTCAATCTTCATGAGATGAACATTTTGAAATCTGCCATCCAACAGGAGTATACTGTGGCCTGTAAAATCCGTATTCAAATCCACTTGAGAAGTAAAAGCATGAGGGTGCTGATGAAGATATATTACTGATATATTACCACTGTTAACATTTGTCATAGGGAAAACTAAATATTTCAATTAGATTAGTTTAGGATGTCATATAGTTCTATCGCAGCCAAGAAAAGAGTACACGTCCTTCTTAACATTAAATTCATTAAAGTTAGATGATGAAAATTTGCATAGGACAGTTGTACGTGAATCTAGTCAAAGTTCGCATGGAAATATTGCTTAATAGTTATGATCAAATGTCTGAAACCACGTTAGTCATGCTTTTTACAGAGAGGAATCTTCAGCTCATCTTCCCGAACTTAAGCTGAAATCACAACATTCGGACTATCTAATACGTTAGAATTTTGATTTTCAAGATATTACCTCCTATCCACAATTAAGTGACATGATCATGGTGATGTTCTACCCATGGGTTTTATGTTCCATTGTTTCTATTGGAATACAGTGATGAAACCGGTGCTCACACCACGTTCACAGACAATTGACCGAGGTCCCGCCTGGATAGCAGCTACCCTCTCTTGCGCGATTATTGCCATGCATTATGGTATTCTCAACTGCGGATCTCTGTATTATCCCAGTTGGATGGATGTAACTGGCTACCCAATCAGTGTGGTCTCGTGGTTGGTAACCGGACAGTTCGCAATTGCATTCTGTTTGGGTAAGTTGGTCTCTCAGCTTCTGGGTTTGTATGTGCTTTTCTGTGTATTAATTTCGATTTGCTGACAATGATTTTTTTGAATATTGCAGAATTTTATTTCAAGAACGATTCCTATTTGTTCTAATTATCCTGCTGCAAAGAAATGAAACAAATTACCGAAACTAATTTTTTACTACTGATAGTTCAATTTTGGAATATCAAGTGAATACAATTACTTGTCCGTTGGCATTGCAGTCAATGTTTCTGAAATTTTTGATTATAATTCTCTGTCTCAAATTAAATTAGGTTCACAGAACTACATAAAAAGAAACACATTTTCGAAACCTTCAGTACACCTATGATAACAGTGAGTGAACAAATTTTCCCAAACATTCTCGACAGGTTCATCCTCAAACTATTTTAAATATTTTTGGCCAAACATTTGTTGGCTTACGATAAAAATGAAGGATAGACTTGACAATATGCCGTTGAAAGCAAAAATTATTGGATCGCTCGATTATAATGAAACCTTTTCACACTTGCGGAAGTTGTAAAGCAATTTAAAAATGTACCTGTTATTTCAAATATATCCAAGCGGCAATACCATAATTTTGTACTTCAGGAATTTTTTCTCACCTTGATACTACTTATTAGTAGCAACATCATTTTCAGTGGCAATTTAGATCCAATTTCGTATCCGTCGTTCGCGAAAGATCACTTTGTTCAAACAGATGATTTTTTAAAATTTAGGATGTCCCTTTTTCATGACACAATGAGGATACTGCCTTTGCACCTCACGGCCTTTCATTTTGTCGGAATTTAATCACCCTTTTAAGAGCTACACGCGAATAAACATTGGTCAGAATGAGGTTTAGTTGCATTTGTCTAACCTTGATATCTAATAATGGATCTATCACTTTCCTTACTGTACAGCTCCTGCTTACAGTCGCTTATTGGAAAAAATTCCAAATCGAATTGGCGCTCTGATTGGCACGCTTTTGACTTCCGGAACTATCATAATAGCCGCGTTTACCAACAACTTTTTCACGTTTATGGTGCCGTACACAATATTCGGAGGTGAGAGAGTTCCGTGCACGTTCAGTTTTTACTTTTAAGATTAATTTACCACGGCTATTAATTACATGCCGACTATTTATTTATTTTACGCAATTGATTAGGCACCTTCACAAACCGCGGATGCTTAAAATGCTCTAGCTACACATTCGGCTCCGGTTGTGATCGGCATTTTTGTAACTTCCGGATAGTTAAAGTGACAAAACCACAGTGCGAAAATCCAGTGATACAGTGATAATTTAGCACAGTCTGTAAACAACTCAGTGTTCCGTTTAGCTAGCGAGTTGTACTGATATCGTTAATTTTTTTCGTGATGTTGTAGACTAGTAAACATACTGATATCGATGTTTCTTGATTCACGTATTAGAACATAGATCATATAGAATTGCGGTGTGAATTGGGTGGGTAAACACTAGTTTGTGAAGCGGTTGTTTAAAAATATTTTCTTTAGAGCAAATATAAATCAAACGGTTATTATGTTGAGTTTGAACCAAAACATGAGGTTATCTACCAGAATCAATGCGGTTACTCTTCTCATATTTGGGCTTCAGAACCCGCGATATGTTAAAATTCACGAAATGGGGACGTTTGTTTATTCTGTTGCTTATGATAAATTACAAGGTGTTGAATCCTACCCATATCTGTAAACTCTGACATGCCGGGAACAAAGAGACCTAAAATGAAGATCATGGTAGGACCATAGGAGATGGTGGCGCTGCAGAAAACTGTATCGTCGTCGAACTTCGGGAGTTATCACAGGTAGGTAGTCGAAAACTCCCGATTCCTGGAGATCTTAGGTGCGTGTTGACCAGATCTGAAACCTGTATTTAGGAACATGACAAGTGTCCACTGCAAGGAATAGTATCTTAGTGTGCAGGTTAATCTCAGTACTCAATGTTGTGTCGTAAACAACTGCCAATTGCGGTTGCGACTCGCAAAGTGGTTTAATCTTTTAGTCTGACTGTTGGTTTGAATCACAGAGTCGAGATGTCTATATAAATGTGTTTTCTATTGTTTGGTCATCAATCTGAATGTGCAGTGTTAGACGGTGTAACGTTATTGCGAAAATTTTAGATGTTGACGTGGTGAGAGGACCATAATGTCATCGGAAAATCCCAGGTTTACAATCCATATATTGGAACTGCGGTGCCTTCCAGAATAGTTGTTTAGTGCATTTTGCATCACAAAGCATCATTGTAAACCTCGGGTGAAAGTAGGCGACATTGATAGACCTCGGAGCTAGGACGAACTCTGTGGAATCCAAGTAATAAAGTTAGACACACGCACAATTAACTGATGATAATGCTCTTACGATTAGTATGCTCTCTTCAAGCAACTNCAGCTACAATAATACTCTTCGAGATAGTGATTTCACGTCGCCTGCAGTGAAACTGGAAAGAGTTTGCCAAGTAGGCCTCTTCAGTATTCAGGAAAGGTTGTATAGTATAGTTGGATGATCAATTTTCATTCCATCTGGCGTTCTGCACAAGGGTTTGTCATAGCAGCTCCTTGATCGATGATTTCAATTTTGTGCATCGCGCATTCACTATCGCTTTAAACTCGATTAGAGAGGCCATGTTGGTTGAAATGGCTTCTAACGGGGTCCGTCTTGGTTATCGCAGATCCAAAACTGCTTTCCATTGGATTGAAATCTGGACTGCACGTAGGTTACACTATTGTTTTGAGGCCGCAAAATAATATACGGCACTTTGTTGAATACCAGTAATGAACTACGGCAATATCTTGTCAGAAAATCGCTTCAGAGTGAATATTTGATACCACTACTGGCATAAGGTGCCACTCCAATGTACGAATATATGCATCAGAACCTTGTACCACATACGTAGTATAACGAGTTCGGTCGGGCAGTTGCTCGATGAGATAAACCGTAACATTACAGAGTTTCAATCATTAATGTATTGACTGATGTACCGCTCTTTNCATTGATCATTCCAGTAGAAGTTTCACGCATCGTGTCTGTCTGAATTAAATTTATTTTTGATGCTAAAGTAAGCGAAATTCCACTTGTTTTTCACACATTAGGTGAGTTTAGTTCACAGTGTTTCTTGTTTAAAATTGTTTGAACTATGCGCCTTCTGTTTTTCTTTCATTTGGTCCAAAGGAACAATTTCAAATGTCTGTTTTATCAGTTCCTCCGAAACAGTAGAATCAAGCACGTATCCATTCCAGATGCATAACTCACGGAGTTTGAAGCCATACGTAGCAATACGTCCTTACTATTCCCATAGAACTTTCTCTGGTGTATAATCCGTTTATGATTGTCTTTTAGCTGTCTCCACTTCAAATATCTTGTCACAATGTAATCGAAACCTATTAGCTATCTTACGTGACCTGGCGTTGATCGCACAAAAGATGTCAATTCTGGATTTCTCGTTATCCGTAAGCCTCTTCCATCGCCCCATGGTTAGTAATGGCTCTTGGTGACCTACATGGATGTTTGCATGTCTAAATGCAAACTCAGGATGTCTATCGCGCCCGTTTTACAACCAAGGCGGTTGTGTGACGTGCAAGAAGGGAGAGTGCAGTACTTTCGTCGCGGTGAAAATTCGTTTCCTTTCGACCTATTTTCGTTAAAATTAAAAGTAATTTAATGAAATTTCATATTTCAGCTTTGCATTTGACTGCCATCTAGCTTCTCGAAAATGGTGATTATCGTGCACATGGGAATAGAGGCATTCGAAGTTTCTAGCGGGGATGAGGAAAAAATACGCATGTTGCTGGGTGAATAACGTTGTTTTCTTGTACGTCATCAAGTCTTCTAACAGTTCCTTGGCAGAAACCTTGATCTCGCACGTACACAGGTACAAGCAGAACCGTTCTTGTTTTTCCTTTCTGCATCGCAGTAAACCTAGGAATCTTCGATCAGCGAAATCCAATGAGTACATACGAGTGTGCCATAGATTTTTTGTGCCTTTCTGCCATCATTGGAGTGCCACGTCAGTAGATGGAATGCCTTAACTTGGTACTGATAACCACCAATCGATTTAGAGCGGTCAATGAGACTAGAAATCGGCCATTATCGCACTTCTTGCAGAGTCCAAACCTTGCTAGTCCATAACTGATGTTCTCATCTCATGGTCTAGTAGTCACATCCCAATCGCTGGCAATTAAGCAGTATTTCTCGCCTGGAGGTATGGCTAAAAGAGTATTGTGGGTGACTATGAATTGCTTCTTTGTCAGCGGAATCAGCTGTCGAAATGGGTGCATAAATGAATATGACATTGAAGATCAAAGGGCATCCTGCGAAGGCGTGCTACAAGAATTCCGTAAGAGATCGGACTATACGAGATCACCGGCTTTTCACAGGCACCGGGCACTGTTGATGATGTCAGTTGTGGGTTTCACTCCTTGGGAGATTGTTAATTCCCCAATACTTGTATGCATGTAAATCATCAGTAGTGCCTGGTGCCTGTGAAAAACCGAATGGGCTAATTCAAACATTCACCATCTAAATTGATTAGGCTGTTCGCACAAGGTGACAACCGTTGACCGTGTAGCTCAAGGGTAAGGGTTTGAAGTTTCAGCCAGAAGAATCGCAGTTCGAGTCCTGACAGGGACACAAAAGGTACGCACTCCTGACGAGTCCCAAACAAGACGAAACAGCTGTCCAGTGTTCTTTGTTGGTTATCACAAACCTTTCCCTCGCATTTGAACAAACAGTGTCTTCTCTATTGTTGTGGGGTGAAAATTTGATGAAATACCAACCTCCACGGTCTATCGGATTTCTAAAATTACATGTGTAAATATTGTTTCTATTTCAAATAGCGATCTTTCGCTGACTGGACTTAAGTGCGGATCTCATGCACAAACCGAATGCGACCTTCAGGGCAACGGGGTGAGCGGTTCATAAGCCCTTTGGTTGGTGTTTCACCAACCTGGAATCCAACATTACCCTGCTCATACCCCTCCTGGATGGGGACCTCGGGATAGTCGCACCCGGTGGTTAGACACACTGAATGATATGGCTGGGTGTCGTAAACAGTGGCGTTCGTGCATCTTCTCAATTTCTGTGTATCATAAGTCCACTGAACTTTTCAATTTTCTCTTCGAACCTACTTTCAACCTTTCCTGTCTTTCTTGTAATGTTCATTCAAATGGGTAGCCGAAAGATAGCGACCAAAACCGTGCACAATAGTGCATGGTTAATGGTTGTACAAACTGAACTGAACTGAACTCATACCCCTTCCGAAAGAACAGACCCAGTCCCCTAGATCAGTTTGCAGAACAGGTGAGATTGGCCTTAACTAATGGTAGACATCATGGATTTCATGCTGTTGGCAGGCACATGTGGACATTTTAAGATCACTAGCCAGACGAGAACGTACTATTTTCACAATCGTCACCGTTGTAAATGTACTACGGTTTCCTCAGTGGACTGGGGATTATCCATTCATGGTTAACAATCTTCGTGGGCATTTTCCTATCTGCTACCTGGGGACCAGCTAAGTAGCATTCAGCCCTGCTGGCCACATACTTGTGGCATACATTTCGAATGATCGCAATATAGCAAGGAACGACCGTTCAGATAGTTTCTTAACTACAATCAGTTGTTGCAGTTCAACGAAGAATTTCACAGCAGTCCCACCAGGTCAACGTTTTTGAAAGAGACTGTTTTCGTTGAACTACCATTTTTGGTGATGAAACAACATGAAAAAGTGAAACTTATAAAAGAAATTCTGCGGGATTACACATCCGTTGAGATTTCGTTGGCAGTGTGCTATTGCGGTTGAATATTGACTGAAAGAGTTCAACCGTTCCACTACTTCTTTACTGAATAGATTTTGTTCGTACTAGTTGCTTTTGCAACTTTAATCACATTGTTTTAGAAATCTATAACACAGGAAATTGGTCAAATGCATTTTATTGCATATTGTTCAAATTATCGATTAGAATAACTGAGTAAACCAATATGTCAATATTTCTGTCAGTGGTGTCGAACTAGCTACATCCGGTTGAGTTTTGTAACTTGATGCCCTGCCTACGACTCGGTAATTTTCATTCCGTTCTTTTTAGTTCTCAAAACACTAAAAGCCGTAAGTGCGTACTAGTCTTTTCAGCTTATCTCGATCCCGGAACAGCTGATCTATATGCGCATCACACGTGAAAAGTGCTTGGAAAGGTGTACACCAGCGATTTTTGATAGGACCGGGAGGTATACAACTTTAGCAAAACATGGGGTGAATATGAGCCATGTTTACCATCGTGAAATAGTCATTTTCGCTCCCATAGTGCACTCTACCGGTGAGTATGATCGAACATCTGGTATGGGAAAACTTGCGGATACGTTAGTATACCGAATGTGCACATCGTCTGTAATTTGCATTTACGATGAAGATTCTCTGAGATGAGGGAGGGAGAGAAAGACTTTGAAAGGTAATGAATTAAAAGAGATGCGATCCGTAACTGATTAGAATAAAAAATATACACCGTAAAGTAAATGATGCACTTGCACAAATCACTTATCCAGTTGAACTGTCATAATAGTTGTGATTAATCGCGGAGACTGTTTAAGCTGTGATCAAATAGTTTTTATGAATCGGATCTTTGTACAATAAAATAGTTGACGAAGCAACCAGGACGATTGGAGTGTCGACAAACTCTGAAAACGAACCCGACACTTTTGTGAGCAAAATTCACCTTCTCAAGCTCCACTCTATTGTCATGCGGCATTTATTGTGATAAGTTGCACATTAATTTGAATAGCTATGAATATCAGTTTGAAAGTTACAGCAGTTCAAGCTCTTGCATGTTTCGAGGTCAGTCGTAGAATCTGAATGAATGAATGAATCTGAATCTGGATGCCTTCAGGGTTATTTGTTCATGGGTGTAAATGTGCATAACTAGAGGTAGACATTACGTCACTGCAGCCGTTATGACTGAGTGTCCTGATTCCGAATTACGCACACACCCTAAAAATTGTTTTTGAATCTCTATTAAAACAGGTATCGGTTTGGGACTCACTGTTATTCCAGTTTTGGGTATTTTGGCCGAGTACTTCGATCGCTACCGCGTGTTGGCTCTTGCTCTGGCCGCCAGTGGGTCAGGATTTGGCACGTTCATCTTTTCCAAATTGGACTCGTTCCTCATCGAGACCTACACCTGGAGAATTGCCTTGATTGCTCAAGCTCTACTCCATCTTAATGTGTTTCCATTGCGACTACTTCTTCGACCTATTCCCCCGGAACCGGTTGCCGAGCCCACTATTTTTGTTCCAGATCAACCGGATCTCACTATCTGTGATCTGCCCAACTTGAAACCAGAACAACCGGCAAGGGTATCTGAGTATGGTGCAAGTAACATGCTAGTTTCTTTGCTCAGTGTGAACAGCATACGCAGTTCTGTCGCCGGTAGTCGCTTTCGTTGCTCCGTGGCTGGAGATGACGGAGCCCGCAAAGCACGACCAGGACACAATGTACGAGTAGTAATTGAATATGTAAAAATGACATGTCTACCCAATCAACGAGATGCTGTTATAACCGGACCAATTAGCTTCCTATCAAGTCCTGGCCCGGGAGTGATGGAACAGTTGGAGTCTGAGGCACGTGAATACTTTTGTCGTCCAGATCTCACAGCAGATACTGTCCTGATTCCGTTGATGTTTGTACTTGGGGAAAACGATTCATTTTCGGCCGCAAATATTGCTAGCTCGCGACGTGGTCTGGATGTGCCTGATACCAGTGAATATACAGGAAGTCGTTATGATCTGGGTTCAGCTGTGGATATGGGTGATATGAGTCAGGTGTACCGTCAATTAGTTATTGGAGATTCTTTTGCTTCCAGTATGGTCGCCGCACATGAACGAAGACAGTTGAAGCGGACAGTAAACGAAGTAATTCGTCACGGTCAAAAGTCGATTCAAGAGGCAAATAAAAAGNTACAGTGACAGCACTGATTGATCAGACTGACTATTTTGCCCCACCAACGAATGCGACCAACTTCGGATCGGATGATCGAGTTTGTGTACTCGGTTACTACGGCCCAGATGATGCCACGATTCCGGAAGAAGTGGAGCTTGAAGACGGCACAGTACAACCACATACGGATAACACAGGTGACATGAACCTGCTTCAGGATCCAAATGAAAAAGTGGACCGATTGAAGCCACTTACTCAAAGCACCCAAATGTTGGGTTCAACAAACCGTCTCCAACCGGTCATACTTAGAAGAAAAAGTCGCAGTAGCATCCGACTGGGTAGTGTGAGTCAGTTGTCTAGAGTGGATAAATACGGTGAGGCTTGTTATCGTTCCCGTGATGTGTTTGCCTCCGTGATTTCGGTAAACACGCCCCACGAAGCAGCCGAGCTGCTGGTTTCAAAACTGGATGATGAAGCAAAACTAGAGTTAGTCACAACAACCGCCGCATATCGGAAGCTACCGAAATTTCTCTTGGCCGATCTATTTCTATTGAGCTTTTTGCTTTCACGCAGCCTGGCGTTTGTCACCG